TGTGTGTGTGTGTGTGTGTGTGTGTGTGTGTGTGGAGGGTGGGGAGCGAGAGCGAGAGGGGGAGTATGTATGAGTAAGGTGGAACGAGTAGGTGGGGGAGAGGGCTTGGGTCGTGGGAGCTTGGGATGCTGATTCAGTTTCCCATAACGAATCTTACGCTTGCCGAATCGGCGTCCACGTCGTAGTCGAAGCTTCCCTCGGTCGCAGCAGGGTATCCGGGCCACGGGCATGGGCTCGGCCGCCCTGTCGACCGTCAGCTCCTCCGCGATCTTCATGATGACGCACATCAGCAGCATTAGCATCATGTCAGGCGGTGAGGCTCGATCGAGCGAAACCCCGCACTTCCCCTATCGTCTCTCGCACTAGGCGCGAACTTTAGTCTCTGGTCGGCGCACTTCCTTGTAACCGCTGTCACCGGGACGCAATCTTAGGGCGAAGGTGTGGCGTGAGACTTGGGCCCTCGATCCTGCGGCCGCGAGACGCGGGGGAAGATAGGGTGGGTTGGCGTTTTTATTGTTATTTGTTTTTTTTGTTTTTTTTTTTGTTTTTTTTTTTTTTTTTGTTTTTTTTTTTTTTAGAGCACGCGAGACTTTTCGGCTGCGCTCGGCGGCATATCCGATGTCCCGTTCGGCTGAGTGACTGCGCGATGGAGACGTGCGCCGTTGAAAAAAGCCGGTGCTGTAACGTCGCGGTTAAACTCGGCGATTGGTGCAACCTGTTCGCGACAATCGCTTTCCTCGTTTTTTCTTCACTCCCAGCGCATAAAGAAAGGCGAAACAGCGACGCCCACGCACTTGTCGCCATCGTCGTGCGTCCCGAGGAAAGAAGCCGAACGCAGCACGGCCAGCCGCTGTCAAGAGCCTGACGATTACGTTCATTGTGTTTTTTTATTGTCGTCGTCGTCGTCGTAGTCGTCGTCGTCGTAGTCGTCGTCGTCGTCGTCGTTGTCGTCGTAGCTTTTTTGTAGGCTTTGTTGTAGGCCACTGGGAGTTCGGTCGCGTGTGAACGTGGCCGGTCGGGAACTTGTATGTTATTCGTCTCTTATTAATCGGATGACAATAGATGATACGTCATGTATCGGTGGAGCTTTTACGAGGAACGAATATACGAGGAGGATATATCTCTGTTGAAATAAGAATCCGACGTTCGGTATTTGTTTTGCGTTATCAATGGGCTTGGTCATTTGAGAGGCATTTTTATATGAAATCACCGTGTCCATTCACAATTATGATAAAGAGTCGAGCGAAAGATTTCATGAAGATTTCATGTTTGACAATAATGTGAAAGATAAGCTCGGTAATGATATTTGAAAACTTTAGACGATGATAATAAAAGTGCATCGTCTTACTACGGATTCTTCTTTTTTATCTTGTCATGTAGATACAATAATTCTCCGTAGTCGAGTTATAAACATACAAATTGGGGCACACGGTTTACATTTATATTGATGGATGATCGAGGAACGCGCCCGTTACGGACGACCTTTCATTTTATTTCAATCTCGGAACGGTTACGAGCGCTGAAAAGTTGCTACGGCTTTCCTTGCATTCTCGCCAAATATCTGGTGCAGCTAAATGATTAATGGCAAGTCGAGAGTGTGGCAGAGCGACTTTATGAATTTCGTTAGGATTGTCCAAGTTATGACGAAATGCTTTAACGGCAGACGAACAATTGCCATATATTCATTGTATAATTATTATTCTGTAATATTTCTACATTCATACGGACAATTAATATTAGGCAAAGAGATGGAATTGGGGCCTTTTAAACGTCTAATTAGTCTCTTAACCTCAAAATCCAAATCAACAATTTTAAATTTAACAGACGCACGCACACACATTGATAACTGTAAGCATTGTTTGAAATAAAAGTCCACTGTAATTTATAAGATAATTAACGTGCGGTTGATAAAGTAGGCAGGATTAAGAAAGTTAAAGAGCGAAGAAATCGCATTGTAACGAAGAAAAAAAAAGAAGAAGAAAAATTAAATAATTGAAAAGCCGTAAGTGAACCAAAAGGAAAATCTTGTGACATCGATATTAAAGTAAATAGTGAGGGAACGAATATCTGAAATAGGATTAGCTTTTTAATTCGTTAAAAATCGTTAAGCTCAGACAGCGTGGACGAACTAAAGAAATATTCCCAACAAATGGCTGTACAGAGATTTTCATGGTCGTAAATTCGTGTGGGCATTAATCGATAAATGAATCCGCGAATCCCTCGAGTACTTCCCTCGTGCCACTTGGTTCGGTGCTCTTCATGTGAATGTTCATTGAACAAGCAAGTTCGTTCACAAGTCCGGTAAAAGGGGGCCGCGTCCCAGTAACATGATCTCACGCAAAAGCAGGACCGAGGACGTCAACCGCCCACGCGCGAGGCTCTGGATGCGGAGAGAAGCGTCGCATTCCACGGCGGCGCGCCCGGATTTCGCGGAAGTCGCAAAACCAGAGCGCCTCCTTATTTCTTATCTCACCGCTCACCGTAGGCTGCGATCTCTCGCTTTATTAAGTTCGCGATTAAATCGCCGGGCTTTCGTGATTGTAAGGAGTTCGATGTACGAAATTCAAGCGCACGCTATATAAACGATATTTTGAATTATGAACGCTAAATGTTAATTCGCGACCGCTCGGCAATACGCTTTACAGTTTAAAATGTCGACGTCGATAACCGTGTCATTTTTAATTTCTATAAATAACCGGTGTGTAATAGCTTCGATTTAATGCCGCCGCTCCCCTCCCGCTCTTATTCCCGATATCTGATCCCAGGACTTGGCTTCTGCAACTCAAGTGCGTCCTTCTTCTGGCTCCGGCGATCTCGAATAATTGCATCCGTCCGGGAATAGACGGCTGCCGGCCGTGTGTACACTTATTATGGAAGTTTGCGTGGCTGGCCGTGAGTAGAGTGAGGATGCACGACCGTCGAGGAAGTAAGCTCCGATTAATTCGGACGCCGACAATATAAGCCGTAGTGCGCGCAATTTCCAAGACGAGCGATGAGTCCTGGCTTGTCCCCGGGGGAAGGAGGATCCGCGCAGGACGATGAAGAATGCCCCCCGATCGAGCGACAAAGTACCATTACGAGAGCTCGCCGGAATATAAAAGGCGAACGCCGCAAGCTGCATGACAGCATTAATTATTCCATCATTATTTTGAGCGATAGAGAGAGAGAGAGAGAGAGAGAGAGATTTAACGAGCTTAAAACGCGACAGGCTGGCTTTGTTCCGCGAGCGATTTCGAACGATCGCGAGAACCCCGCGTACAGCGATGATTCGTGCTTGGATTTTATTTATATACGCGAGCAGTCGCTTAGCGATTTACCTACACCGGATGATAATAATTGCCAAGTCAATTAACGATTGATCGGCTGTTCAGCGCTCCATGCTTTGCTTGCCTTGATTATCCCGGGGGACCAAACGCAATATTAACCTTACCATTGTCTCGCTATTGTAATGTTCACGCTAATGACATTCGGACATTATTTAAAGCCCTTCGAGATTTCATTAACGCCCATAATCCATGAATTTTCCAATACTTTGGCAAATAATTCGTTTAATATCGCATTAACACTAGATGAAGAAAAAAGCAACAAAAATAAGATATAACATTTCTAATTTTATAAATGTTTTTACTGTTTCTGTTTTGTTTGGTTGTTTGTTTGTTTGTTTGTTTGTTTCTTTGCTTTTTTTATTATTATTATTATTATTATTATTATTATTATTTTTTTTTTTTTTTTTTTTTTTTTTTTTAAAGATGCCTGATAATATACGATGAATTTTAAGCTTTTATTTTTTTTATAGTGATTCGTCGAGGCTGTCTTATTTGCTCCGCATTGCGTTGTGTTTTATTAGAAACTGGCGCATCATAAACATTACGTTTTACGATCCCTCAAAATTCACTATGTCACGACTATTTACCATTTAATTTTATTTCAAACTGCACAACTAAAATATTTACATTGCATTTTTACAAGGTGATACCGCAAGTTTTTTTCCATAACTTTTGCACTTGAATGATTACTTGGCAATCGTCCCGTTTCTTTCAACATTCCTTCAAAGCTAAAGAAAAACTCGCATTTTAATTAAATAAATTTTATCGCAGAATTAAAGATTATTTTGGGAGAGTTTTAAATGGTCGCGTTACAATAGCGCGACTAATAATAATTCTTCCGACTTCGCTTTTGCAGAATTGTTAATGTAACGTTTAAAATTTGATGAAATTTTTAAGCGCCATTAAAAGTAAAGGGAACCGTAGTAGTGGTGACGCAACGATCCACGTAACAGATGTTAATTGTATCAACGATAGAGTAATTTGACTTTGCGCTTCGTTTGCATCGCGTATCAGCCATAGAAAATTTTACATAACTACGCGTGAATTTATGGAGTAATGGCGAACAACGACAGCGAATAATACGCTTTGTCGCGCCAGCCATGGGCGACAACGCAGGCGGCTACACTGGATTGGATGGAAAAAAATTCGTCGACGAGGCTCCGTGCAGTCAACAATGATCACCACCTCCACTCCCTCCGCCCTGTTGTCCATCATCGCTAGGCGGACGATTAAAAATAATCGGGTAGATGAGTTATCTCGAGCGTACGAGCCGGGCCCGACGCTTCCACGCACGCGCGTTCTGGAAAGGGCGCGGAAGGAAGGGGATGGTGACGATGACGAGGGGCGGGGGCGGTTGCGGGCGGGCGACGATGGCGAGCCTCGAGTGCGATACCAAGTTCAATGAATCGGTGCGGGGGAGGGGACAAAGACGAGGCCGCGTTTTCCCCATTGCGAGTCGATCGATACACGGAGCAGAGGAGTTACGAGGAGTATAAGGAGGGCCTTGTACTCCGCGTATAATGGTAATTACATGGGTCGCGGGCAAAATCAGGACGCCACACCTTCAGCACTCGGCGACTACGCGCAAAAACACACGCCCGGACGGCATCGAGGAGCTTGCGAGCTTGCCGTGAGGGCCTCGGGCCGGGAACTGAGGCCGCGGTTCCGACGAGAGACGCCCCAAGCTGCTGCGCACGAC